ATAAAATATTTATTTTTATTTTTATATTTTATATTTATATATATATATATATATATATTAATATTAATATATAATTTAACAAATTTTTATATATGAATTTTATAAATTTTTTTATATTTATATATTTTTTTTATAATTTTTAATTTTTTTTAAATAAACCATGATCATCTATTGCTTTAAATTAATGTTTTTCTAATTATATAGGTCTTATAAGAATTAATTTTTTTTAATTCTGAATAAAAATCTATTTGTAAATATTAAAATATTAAAAAAGCCCTTCACCCATACTTGTTATTTTGTTCTAGTGATTTTTTACTTTACATATTATTATTTTACTTTTTATTAAACTTATGTTTTTATTGATTTATTATAATTTCCTTTAATTTATTCAAATTAACTGCTAACTATTCTAGATGCCTAAAAGCTTTCATATTTATTTAAATTAAATAATGTCGGTTCTTTTTCGTTTTATTAATAAAAATTAATGTTAACATCTTATTCTATTTACATTTTATTTATTTTTAATAATTAATAGTTTTATTATTAATTAATTTAAATCCAATTTTATCTTTACTAATCTCCTTGTCTTATTTCATCAAATGTTGAATTCATTTATGTTTATTTTTATTAATATACCTTACTTTTTAAATTAAATAATTTAATAATTAATTATATATATAGATTTGATTTGTTTTCAGTTAGATTTATTTAATTTTAATTAAAAATTTTATAAATTTAATAAGAATATTAAATTAAAAAAAAATGTTTTTTTTATATGAAATATATATATATATATATTTAAACATTTTTTTTTTATAAAATTAAATACATTTATAAATATATTTAAAGTTTTTATATTATATTTAAATATAAAAATTACTTATTAATTATAATTTATTTTAAAAATTTATAAATATAAATAATAAATATCATATTTATTAATTAAAGTTTTTTTAAAAATTTTTATAAAATAATTACATAATTTTTAATATATAAAATAAAACAATTTAAATATATAGTTTATGACATAATAATAATATATATTTATGTTTAAAAATTATTATTCGAAAATTTATAGAATAGATGAAATTTTCATTTTTCATTTTAAAAAATATTTTTATTTATTTATATATTTTATAAAATTTTTTAATAACAATTATTTATTATATTATTCTATATAAATTTTTTTATATATTATATTACAATAAATCCTAAAAACATTAATTAAATAAACATTTAAATTAAAAATAATTTATTTATAAATATTTATTTTTTAATGAAATTTAAATATATATATATTAACTACATTTTTTTATGAATTATTATTTCATTAATTCATTTAAAAAAAGAAAATAATTTTTATATTTATTATTTCAATTATATTTCTAACTTTTAAAGTTAAAATTTTAAAAAGCTTCTTTATTTTTATCCTTGTCTTATTATTAATTATTTTCCTCATATATATCAGCATATACAGCATCTATATAAACCTAATTTTCTTAATCACAGATTTCAAATTTTTGAATATTTTAATCTTCATTTGTTTTTTTTTATATATTTTCTAGCATTACTTTTTCATCTTATTATCTATAATATAAAAATAATAATTAAATAAATAAATATAAAGTTTGTTACTAATTCTTATTTTAAAATTATTTAAAAATATAATAAATAACTATTAATACTATTATTATTCCAAATACTGTAATAACTGATATAGTAATTAATAATTTGATTTCTTTTTCTTTTTTTTATTCATTTAATTCATATTATTCTTATTATTCTTATTATTCTTATTATTCTTATTATTCTTTTTATTCTTATTATTATAATAACATATTTTACATTTCATCACATTTAGTTTCAGACAAAAATATTTGATTACTTTTTACATCAAATATTATTTTATTGTTTTTCATAAATGTTTGACCTAAACTAATATAATCTTTTCTTTTATTTTGATATTTTTTAAATAAGAAATATAAAATTACTCCCAAGATTAAAAAGAATAACATAATTTATTTATTTTTTTATATAAATAATTTGATGGAATCCATTCGAACTATTACTAATTTTAAAACTCAATATAAATTTTAGGTAATTCTTTGGAAAAATTATTCAGGTTATTTTCATTTTCAAAAATAAAACAGTTTTATTAACAATTATCTTAATTACATTTTTATTCAAAATAACTATGAATTTTGCTTTTTTTTGTAAATTTAAATATTAATCAATATATTTATAATACTCATAAATTTATTTAGGAAAATAAGTAAATATTGACTTAGAATTTAATTCACATTTAATTTAATCATTAAATATATAAAATAATTCTTAAGAATTAATCTATAAAACTCATTAAAAAAAAAAAAAAAAAAAAAAAAAAATTACAATCATATGATAAACATTAAACTAATAAACATCTATATTTTCATCATATTATATAATTAAATTTTCATATAAACTCTACTCATTTTATTAATTTCCTATTTATAAATAACCACTTTAATTCCCAAAACATAAAGAGAAATTGTTATTAATATTTTTGTTTTCATTTTAATGTTAAATAAAAAACATATCAATCAGATTTGGCATATATTTTCTATCTTAAAATTAATAAATATTTTTAAAAAATAGTTATTATTTAACTGTTTGAAGAAGGCCCTAATCCAATTATTGATTCTTAATTTTTACTTTTTTTATTAATTAAAATAATTACAAGTTTTTTATTTTTTTATATAATAAAATAGTATACTTTTCACTACATAATGTTATTAATGATGTTTATATTTATTCATATTATTTAAGTATTTCTTTTTAATTTTATTTATATTTTTTGTATAGAAAATCACTTCCATAAATTACTTAATCTTCTATATAAAATCCTATATATTTATCCTTTTAATAAAAATTTTAGAAATTTATTAATAATTAAATCATTTTTAGTTTGACTTTACATTATCGTATAATAAGCATTTATCTTTTTCGCATTTTTTGCATTCAAAATTACCTTTTTGACCACATAAGTTACTAGAATATGTTTAACTTTATTTTAAATCATCTTTATATAAATGTTTTAAAAAAAATAAAAGTATAATATTACCTTAGCAATATAAAAATGTAATGTTTGATGAAACATCTATGATAAATTATTATAATTTTAATGTACTTCCAATCAAAATTTTGGCCTAATAGTAATCATCTTAATAGTAAAGTTAAATATATGTTTAATTTAGTTGATTTTATGATGATTAATTATATATTTATTTGTTAAGTAAAATTAAAAAAAATAACAGTGTATTTATTTAGAACTAGAACATTTTTATAAAAAATATATAAAATAAAATTTATTGATATTAAAAAAAAGAAAATATTATATATAATATTTAAATAATAAATCTAATCATTATTAATAATATTTTTACCATATAATTTTATATATTTATATTTTTAAAAATTAAAGTAAAAAAAGATATAATATATATATATATATATTTATACATATTAATAATTATATATATTTATATATTTTTTTTAATAAAATTTATATATCTATATTAAATTTTTTTTTTGTAATTTATAAATTAGATAAAAACACTATTTCTAATTAATACAAATAAAAAAAAAATAGAAATATTCATTTCGAGAAAGCCATACCTACTTATTAATAATGAGTATGCAATTTTTAAAGTGCATTTACATATGCAGCTTATCTTAAATTAATATTTAATTTATTACTAGTTTCAATACTTTCATTTAAAGATCTTTCAAAACCTTCTTCTAATCCACTTAATACAAGATCTCTCTATTATTATTATTATTATTATTATTATTTTTAAAAAAAAAGAATAAATAAATAATTTAAAAAAATATATTAAAAACTTCGGTAGCTCCTGAAATTTTACTCAAACTATCACTCATATGTTCCTTTATTTTAAGTCCAGTTTCTTCTTATATAGTTTCTAAGAGATAAAGATTACTTTATTTTTTAAAATTAAATATATAAGTACTTTTTTTTTAAAAAAAAAAAAAAACCTTTTTTCTTGCCATCTTCTAGTCATAGAACCATGACTTTATTTATGACTAATGTTTTTAATCCATTCAAAATATCCAGAAAGGAAACCTCCTGTAGAGGCAAGTATATCAGGGATAATTAAAATTCCGTTTTTTTCCAAAATATATTCAGCTTTCGGAGTTATGGAAAGGTTTGCAGCTTCTACAATGACTTTACTTTATATTTTATCAGCATTTTATGAATGTATTGATTTAGCAAAATATGCTGGAATGAAAATATCACATTTTTAATATCCTACATTAGATTGGAAAGTACCTTTAGGATATCCTTTTATTCCTTTATTTTTTTATTTATATTCATTTATTTCATCTGCGTCGATTCCTAAATAAATTGTATCTTTTTTAATAAATGTATATATATATATATTTATCTTCCTCATTATATATTTCGCCATCAACTTCTATTATACCAACTAAAATAGCGCCCGCTTTTTGTAAAAAATGAGATGCCCAATAGCCTACGGCTCCAAAACCCTTTTTTAAAAAAATTATATTTAATTTTGTTTTAAAAATAAAATATTACTTCGACAATAAAAGTTTTTCCTTTTAATCCTTATGTTAAACCTGCTTTTTTGCAAAAATCATTAAAACATAACATATGTTTTAATGCATAATATACACAATATCCATATGATTCAACACCTCCATTAAGTCCATTTTAATTCTTTTTATTATTAATTAATATATTATATATATTTAGATATTATATTTACTAAACTTTTCCTGTCACACAAGCAGAAGAGTTAATATCTTCTCTTCCATTAAAACTATTAAAAAAACTATATTATTTTTTTTTTTTTTTAAATAATACAATTAATATGTATCTTTAATCCAATTCATTTCCCTTTCTGTTGAGCCAAGATCTAATCCCTTAAAAAAAAAAATTAAATAAATATATATATAAAAAAGACATATTAAAAATATAGAATTAAAAAAAATATATACTAATGAAAATATATGCTAAAAAAATTTATTAAAAATAAAAATAAAAAAATACAGGAACATCAACAGAACTACCAATAAGTCCTTTTTTTGCACATTCAGTTGTATATTTTCTTATAATATTTTCCATTTCTCTTTCAGAATAATTTTAAGGATTAAGTACAATTGCACCTTTAGCTCCCCCATATGGAATATGAAATGTATTACATCTAATAGTATTTAAGCATGCAAATCCTTCAATATCAGATTTAGAAATATTTGGAGAAATAACAAGTCCTCCTTTAGTGGGAAGTAAATGGGTTTTATGTTAAGTTCTATAGGCTTTTATTATTTCCATTGTGCCATCTTGTCTTTCGAAAGGTATTGTCATTTCTAACATTATGTCACATTATTTGTAAAAATTTAGCATATCAGGAGGGATGTTTGTATATCGAGATGCTTATTCCATAAATTAATATACTATATCAGAAATAGAACCGTCTATTTTTTCATCTTTATATAATTTAAATTTACTAAAATTTTGTTTGGGAATATATTTTAAAAATTAGGCTTTAGAGAGTAAATATTTTTTTAGTATCATTTTTTTTATTTTTTGGATATTTTCAAGCTATATTTTTTTATTTTATTATATATTTTTATTATTAATTTTTATAATATTAATGTTTTTTTTATAATAAATAAATAATACGATAAAAATATTTATTTTTAACTTTTAAAAAATTTAATTATACTGTATATAATAATATACAATTTTAAATAATATATTAAAAATTCAATGTATATATATAATTAAAAATATATAATATTATTGAATTTTATATAAATATTTTTTTTGATTTAAAATTATTAAAAAATATATATAAGTAATATAAAAAAGAATATATATATATTTAGATATATATATATTTTTATATAATTATATTATTATATTTTTTTAGTTAGATTAATTTTGCATTATTAAAAATAATAGAAAATTGTAGATAAATAATAGTATAAAATAAATATTATTGTAAGAAATAAATATATAATTAAAATAATATTTTATTAGTTAGTTTTTTAATTATTTTTAATATTAATTTATATTTTATTTATCATAATTTCAATAGTTTAATAAACAAAAAATAATATATATTTTTTTTTATCAAATAAAATATTAATTATGTATTTAATTTTATTTTTAAAAAGTTATTATAAAATTAATTTTTTATTTGAAATGATAATTAATAATAAATATAAATTCTTTTTACTTTATTATTTTATTTTTAAATATAATATTAAGTAAATTAATTATAAATATTTCTATAATTGCAATAATATTAATATATATTTTATATATTTTTATATATTAGATTATAAATTTTTTAATATTTAAAGATATATAAAATTTATATTTTATAATTATTAATTTATATATAATTTTTTTTTTTATTTTTAAAAATATGAAAATTATTTTTTAAAATATTTTTAATTAAAATAAAAAATGATTAAAAAAGTTTTATCATAATAGATTTAATTTAATATTTTTATATAATAATATCATATAATTTTTTAATTTTCTTTATATAATAAAAACTTTGATTTATTTAAATAAAATATTGTAAAAAATACATCGATTATTATATAAAAAATATTTAAATACAAATTATTTAATATATTAAATTATTATAATATATTCTATTTATAAGTTTTATTTAATTATAAACATTAAATATTTTCTTTAAATTAAAGAAATCTAATTTATAATATTAATAAAATATTTTTTTAATTAATAGAAATTATATCATATTTAAACATTTTTTTTTAAAAAAAACAAATAATTATTTAATTTATAATATAAAACATATATCATATTATTAAAAGAATCAAATTATCCAGATTAATTTTTTATACATTTAATTTTATTAAAAATAAAATAATAGAAGAAACAAAATAAGAATTATATAATGAAGCATAAGAATTAAATTATTAAAAAAAAAAGAAAGAAGTGAAAAATAGAAAATTATTTAATAAATGCTAAAAAATTAAAATAATTTATAAAATTATAAAAGAATAAAAAAAAATATAATTAAACTATTGATTAATTAAATTAAGAATATAAAAATCAAATTTTAAAGAAGAATTTATTTAAGCAGAATATCTCTTTTAGTAATTTTATAAAAAGTAATGAAAAAACTTAAAAACTTTAAAATTTAAAATAAAATATATAAAATTTTTAAAAAATTTAAATATTATTAAAAATATAATAGTATAAAAAAATATCTAATACAAAAAACAGAAATATATAAATAATAATAATTATGCCAGAATTGAATTATTAATTAAAAACATGATAATTATATCTGCAATTAAATTAAAGAAAAAGAAATAAACACGTGTATTCAATAAATCAAGAAATATAAAATATTTTTAATAACTCGGAAGAACAAAATTATTTTCAGTTACTTTTATTAATTTTTTTTTTTGTAGATTAAGGTTATATTGAAATTATTAATTAAAATGCTAATTTATTTTAAAATAAAAATACATTATGCATTAATAAAATAGCTAATAATATTAATTTATGAATTGATTTTCTGAATAAAAATAATTGAAATAAAAATTTAGAAATTTGTTAAACTTCTTTCTAATTTAATATTTTTCAATTTAAGAAACTTATATTAAATTTTATTGTTTTTATTAATTATTATTTTAGAAATTATATTATTAATTTATTTTAAAAAAGTAATAAATAAATTATTTCTATTTAAAAGATAATATAATTGAAAAATTAATGAATATAGATTGCTATTAATTTAAATAAATATATAAAAATAAAATTTATTTATTATAACTTTTTTATTTTATTTAATATTCATATAATTTAAAAAAATTTACATAATCATATAAATATTTATCTAAAGTAAATAGAATTAATAAAATTTATAAAAATAATTAAAAAACTGAATAAATTCATATAATATATGATTTTTTATAAAATTAAAAAAATTAGTATTTAATTTATTTAATTAAGTAAAAATATAAAAATTTGAGGAAATATAATCGAGTAATATTAATGAAAATAAATAAAAAAAAGAAAAAAAATATGATAAAAATATAATATAAAAAAAATTATATGATATTATTGAATAGAAAAAGGAAAATTATAATTTTTATATAAATAAATATAAATATTTTTATATATTAAAAAGAATTAAAAATCTTAAATATAATAAATAAAAAATCTTATATAATTAATAATAAATAAAAAAGATTAATTTATTTAATAAATTTTATTGTATTAAAAAAAAAATTATTTAAATAAAATAAAAAAGAAAAAAAAATA